CCTAATTACGACTTAGTTACTCATAAAAGGAGTTTTAAAAGCTTAATTAGGATAAATTATACTTATGACTTGGTATGTCCTAATTAGGAGTTCAAATAAACATCTTTTAGTCCTAGTTATGAGCTAAGAAAGCCTAATAAGTAGAAATAAAATTCAAATTTGAACATTATAACTCCTAATTACGTTTTTAAAACTTATAATAAGGAATTCCCCTCCTAATTAGGAGTTTCATGTCTTATTATTAGGAATTGAAAATCCAAAATAGTCAATTATTTCTCATATGTTTTTTTTTTCAACTCCTTATTGAGAGTAACACAGTTTTAATGATTGTTTTTATTTCTCCTAATTAGGGCGAAATTTAAATATTCTATCAAGAAACTAAATCATAATAAGGAGTTTGTAAATCCCTTAATAGGAGTAAGAAACTGATAATCATTGGGTTATAAATCCTAATTAGGTTTTCCAACTCTTAAGTTTTAATAAAGTCAAGGTTAGGAGTTTCTCTCTCCTATTATGGCATTTAATAGTCTAGATTAGAACTTTGTTTAGAAAGACCTAGTTAGTATAATAAAATATTAAGGAAATTGTACAAGTCAGTAAGGACTTATTAAATCGCAATAAGAACTAATTTCACTGAATTATGTCAAAAATAAAATTTGCAAAATCATTTTTAAATTAAACAAGAGGGCCATGATGGCCCTGAGGTCGCTCACCTGTATATAGCCCCCCCAACCCCCCCCCCCCAACGTTGCAGGGCCAATTTAACCCAAGGGCTTTTATTTGCACAATCTTGGTAGACACCCATAAGAAGATGTTTCATGCTAAACATCTAAGCTCTAGCTCATTGGGCTTTTTAAAAGAAGATTTTTTTTTAAAGTTTTTACTATACACATATAGTTAAAAACAATGACACCCCTGGGGCCGGGCCAGTTTTGACCCCAGGGCTTTTATTTGAACAAACTTTGTAGACACTTACAAGAAGATGTTTCATGCTTAATATCTAAACTCTAGCTATTTGGGTTTTTTCAAAGAAGATTTTAAGTTTTTGCTATACACATATGAAGAAAATCAATGACCCCCGGGGCGGGGCCAATTTTGACCCCAGGTCTTTTATTTGAACAAACTTTGTAGACACTCACTAAAAGATGTTTCACGCTTAATATCTTAACTCTAGCTATTTGGGTTTTTTCAAAGAAGATTTTTTAAGTTTTTGCTATACACATATAAGGAAAATCAATGACCCCCGGGGCGGTGCCAATTTTGACCCCAGGGCTTTTATTTGAACAAACTTGGTAGACACCTATTAGAACATGTTTGATGCTCAATATCTTAGCCATAGCTCTTTGAGTTCTTTAAAAGAAGATTTTTTAAGTTTTTACTATATGCATATAGGGAAAATCAATGACCCCCCGGGGCGGGGCCAATTTTGACCCCAGGGCTTTTATTTGAACAAACTTGGTAGACACCCATTAGAACATGTTTCATGCTAAATATCTTAGCTCTAGCTCTTTGGGTTCTTTAAAAGAAGATTTTTTAAGTTTTTACTATGTGCATATAGGGAAAATCAATGACCCCCTGGGGCGGGGCCAATTTTGACCCCAGGGCTTTTATTTGAACAAACTTGGTAGACACTCACTAGAAGATGTTTCATGCCAAATATCTAAGCTCTACCTCTTATGGTTTTTGAAAAGAAGATATTTAAAGTTTTTTCTTTCGGTTGCCATGGCAACCAGAGTTCTGCATGGAATTAAATTCTTTGAATAATTTTTAAAGGTGACCACCAAAGGAACATTCTTGTGAAGTTTGGATGAAATTGGCTTAGTGGTTTATGAGGAGATGTCATTTAAAGTAAAAGTTTACGGACGGACGACGGACGGACGGACGCCGGACGAAAAGCGATCACAAAAGCTCACCCTGTCACTTTGTGACAGGTGAGCTAAAAAGTTCTATTGTTGTTTCTTATCGGCGCCCAAATGATTATCCATATAAAGCTAATGGTTAAAAACGCTATTTAGAGTGTTTCAGCGTAATAGATAGATACTTTTAACTTTTAGATATTAAGAAAACAATTATAAAAATCATTCTTCGCGATCATATAATCATTAACTTATAACTTGTTTTTTGAGAGCATATGCACGTGATTTGTGTGTGTGTGTGTGTGTGTGTGTGTGTGTGTGTGCGTGCGTGCGTGCGTGCGTGTTGGTGTGTGTGCGCGTGTGTTTCTTTTTTTTCTTTTTTTTCACACATCCACAACTTGTACCGATATTGTTAAAAGGCAAAAACTAAGGGAAGCAATAGTTTGCATATTTCTATTTGTGTTCAGTAAAGTATTGTGTATCAATCTGAAAGAAGACCACCACAATTTAAACGTCATGATTTATGCAAATAATGTCAATTTCTAAAATAGATGATTAATCATAATAAAGCAAGAATAACCACATATTACAGTTAGGATATCACACAGATAAAACGATCAAGCACATTTGATTCAACATTTGTTATACACTGAAAAGTACTGAAATATGCTGTTTTATCAGACTGTACACTTCTACAAAAGAATTTGTCCTATTTACAAGTAAAAGATTCATTCAAGTATTTTTTTGGACAAAAGTAAGATAAACAACCTGATATAGTTGAGGTAAACAAATTCAAAGTTTTTGGCTATTATATTATGAATTCTATCAATGAATTTCATATATATTCTTAGCATAAACCCATTTTGATGTAAAAAGTAAGTTATAATGAAAGGTTCAGCAATATTTATTTACTTATGTGACCATTGTATGTTCTTTGAGATAAACAGAACGTGACAAATGCCCCCGAAGGATTTTAGTTATAAACCACCTATAACATGTTAAGATTGACAAAATACGAACCCCAGCAGTGACCTTTAAATTAGACGTCTTGTTCACAACACATTGTCCATCTAGGGTGACTTTATATTTTTAAATAAAAATTGAAACTTTTATGTATATGAAAGTCAAAGAGTGGACACAAAAACTACCATTTATATGTATATAACATAAATATTGAAAACGTTTAAACCCCAGCAGTGACCTTGAACTAAGGCGTAGGAACACGAGTCTTAGGACAACACATCATACATTTATAATAATTTCATAAGTGAAATAAGAAATATACTTCTTTAATGCATATTCAAGGCAGACACGACCATCTTTGTCTATATGTATATTAACATCGAAAATTGACCAAGTTTGAACCCCAACAGTGACATTGACCTAAGACGTAGAAATCAGAGTCTTGTTCACGACACACCATACATCTATGTTTTTTTTTCATATATGAAAGAAAAATAAAAATCCTTTCATGCATACTGAAGTTTCAGAGCGGACACAACCACCACAATCTATATTTATATAATATAAAAATGACAAAGTTTGAACCTCCACAGTGACCTTCACCTTAGTGGTAGAAACCAGAGTTTTGTTCGCGACACACCATACATCCATGGTTTTTTCATATGTGAAAGAAAAGTTACAATCCTTCCATGCATACTGAAGTTTCAGAGCGGACACGACCACCACCATCTTTATTTATATAACATAAAAATGACAAAGTTTGAACCTCCACAGTGACCTTCACCTTAGTGGTAGAAACCAGAGTTTTGTTCGCGACACACCATATATCTATGGTTATGTCATATATGAAAGAAAAATTAAAATACTTTCATGCATACTGAAGTTTCAGAGCGGACAAAACCACCATTGTCTATATGTATAAAGCGGGACGGACGGACTAACAGATTGAGAGACAGACAGACAGACGGACGGTTCGAATCTAATATGCCACCCTTCGTGGGCATGATAAAATAATTGCATCGTGTTTGTTTCCAAATATTAACTACTAATATCTACATACTAACGACTCACTTACCATTTTCTAGCATGTTAGTGAATTTGAAATAAAATTAGTTTTTTCTCGCCTAATCGGTTGTTGGAAACTATCATCCTATCTTTACTTGGTGAAATGCATACTGAATATGGACTAATAACCTTATCTAGACCATTGATTGTCAATATTTCACCTTGAGATGACAACTGAACAATTGAATTTGTGCCAGATGAACAAACAAAGAACAAGTCATTCAAGTAATGTGCAATTCCGTTAGGGTTCCTTATATTACTATCTTCAAAAATAATAGTTTCTTTCTGGAGATTGTATATTTGCACTTTACTTTGCCATTTGTCTGTAATAAGCAATTGTCTGTCATTTGCATTGTAAACACTCTTAAACCGATTACTTTTTTCAAAGAACATGCCTTCAAAGTCATAGATCATGTCTTCAGATTCTCCATAAAAAGTAAGCAAATGAGCAGGTTCAACATCAGAACCGAAAGTGCCAACGACACATTTGTTGTCACTTGTGATTGAAATAGAATCGCAGCTGTACTTCACAGGGATTATTTTCTTCTCATTTATAGTATTATCTTCATTTACTTGATAAATACAAATTTTCTTTGCTACTCCAGTCGTTATTATAACACAGTCATCGTGGGTTACAGCCAGGTTCAGTGGGATATCTAGCAAACGCTTTGCAGCTATTTCATTTAATTTGTTGTCCATAAGAATTAACTTGTTATTTCTATAGTCAACAGCAACTATCCTACCATCATTTAGAAAACCTAGTCCTCGATAAAATGGTTCAGCGTCGTCATCCTCACCTTCTTCTATATCGGCTTCAGCTAATACAGAGAGAGTTTTGGCAGAACATTTTGGTACGTGTGTTGTACAAGTTTCCGTTGCTACTGTAACACTTTTTGAAGGTAAACTCAACAAATCACTGATTGTTTCGGGAAGCTCTAATGATAATTTCAGTTTTTTCATTTCACCAAACTTTTGTTCCGTTTCGGATTGTCGAACCATGAATTCATCATATATCTTTTTCATTACAACACATTGTTGTTCTTCAGTTCCAGTTTTCTTACAACTTTTGAGGACAAGCAGTAAACGACGCATTTCCTCTGCCATTTCATTACATTTGACTGCATTTGCAATGATATCGGATGATCCTGTAGACTGAATAGCTTTTAAGTCTTCTTTTAACCCATCCTCAAATTCGTCTAACCTTTTGTTCACCTTTTCTTTAACTTGATTCCACTCGGTCAATAATTCTGCAGCTTGGGTAGCTAAATGCTTATTTTCGTTAACGAAATGACTTGAAGACAATTTCATGGTATTTTCCATTTCGGCGATTTGTTTTCTTAATAAAGTCCCTTGCAGCTTGACCTGTCTATTCATTGCCATTTCACTTATTTCAGCCAGACCTTGACATGCTCTATGGGTAACAATAGCACAAGTGCTACAACAAAGTTTGTCATCATCTTTACAATAAAACTTTATTTTCTTACCATGATTATCACATTTCTGATATGTCCGTAGTGTTGTTGATAATTCAACATTTTCTTTACTATCTATGTCAACGGATTCATGATTCTTCGTTAACTGCAAACTATCATGGACCTTTTTGCAACTTTCACACATTCTTTCATTACAAACTGAACAAAACACTGACGCAATCTTTGTTATATTCTGCATTAAACAGGGTTGACAATTCATTTCTTCCTCCTTGGTGGACTCTTGGCTGCTTGTTGTGCTGTCAAGAAGCGATGCAAGAGCAAAATTTGGTCGCAAACCTTTTGCCCATGTTTCAGGTGATGTATTTTCTTCTACGGTTGTAACATAGCGACAGAGTGGGCACTCTATACCATTGCACAATAGGCCTTTTTCTTTGCTTTTAAGAACATATTCATGGATACAGGTCTCACAGAATGTGTGTAAGCAAACGAGAGCTTTCGGCTCCTTATAAATCTCGAAACAAATTGGACACTTAGACCCATCGTCTTTTACATTTGAAGCCATATCGAACCTATGTAAAAGAGCAAAATAGAATGATCACGACTGTTTTACTAACATTGGCTAAAATTGCCATTTTATATAGTATTGATTTATATTATATGAGCCAATTAGTATTACCATCATAAAGAATGAACTTCCTATTTAGTATATTCATCAGTTGTTGAAATTAATTTTCATAATTGTTTTGTTAAGTTAACCCAGCAACATATATATCCCGGAACAACTAATATTCAAACAGTTAATGTGTTTTTAGCCAAAAATAAATGGTATGTTAAATGACGCTTTAAATTTAGTATTGCATATTAACACATCTATCACCATTAATCATTTTAGGGTTTGAACTTTTTCAACGTATCTTCATCTTGCTTAGAAATTAATACATACAATATGACCAACTTAGCCCATTCCCAAGAATATTTTAAGCTAAATTCAAACAACATGTTAAACACCCCAGAATATTTTGTTCAATATATGCCAGGGCTGCTAAAAGCTGTAGAAAAATTCACAACATTCTATTCAATGATTTTCAACAGCTTTCAGGATTTTAAAAAACTTGCACTAAATGTTATAACATAATGTATAGTACAAAGCATTCGTATGGCTATAGTTCATGTGTACAAAAAAGGCAGTAGAATATAGAGGCTATTCGTTGCCAAAAATCCAGCCTTTGAAACTTGACAATGCATACTTCGGTTCTACTAAACATATTAGTAAAAATCTATTTGTCGATCCGAGAGTTACATACTGCACTGGTATTAAGCATTTTGATTATCTCGATTTGATAAAATGAAAGCTGTTAACATGCAACTTAGATAAATTGCAAACTGTATTTATAAATGTATAATTTCAAATTTGCGACATGTAGAAATGTAAACGATAGAACGTACACAATACGTTTACTGCTGTGCATCATGACGTTGAGAAATGTAACTGCATCAACTTGACACACTCAGGTCTACAACACCACACACTTTCCTTTTACATTCTAACCCGCGATTAACATTTGTAAACGATTTTGCAACTTCCATATATGGAATTATCACGGAAATAGACGAAAATTAATAGGCGGAGCCAATTTCACGAAAGCAGAATATAAAGAGAGGTAACTCTTGCTGGTACAAAAAAATTTCAAATTATATAGAAACTGTTACATCAATCTTGACTTTGAACATCCTCTGATTTTGTTAAAACGTATTCTAGTACAGGATATTCAAGTAATGCAAAATTGGTTAAGATATAATATAAAAATGTAACAACGTATATACTGATAATGAGCATAATAATATGCAAAAACTAAAGTTGGTGAAATAACATAAGGAAATGTTTCCCATATATATTGACACACATCACTACTCTTTGATATCAATGATAGAGTTCTGTGAGCAACGGCAATACTGTTAAGCATATCTTTTTTATACCTTCAGCAAATAGTACTAGAATGCGATACATGGACGGCACTTTTGGCAACACGAATAAAGAGAACTGAACAATAAGCCTGTGCCTTCTTTCTTTAAAGGACTATGTTGGATTGTAGAAAAACTCATATTTTTGACCAAGTGTATAACCACGAAACAATGCAAAGTTTACTATCGATAATTCCGTTGTATAACCAAAACTTGTGAATTTGTCCCATTTTAATGTTGAAATAAATATTCAGTGTATCCTGGCAACTCTGTTTACCTCCATTGGGAGGTGTTTTGAGTCATAGGATGTGATTTAGCCTTTTATTGTTAAATATATGTAAGCTGGCGTAGATTAAGGTCTTTTCATGCATTGTGCTGAATCAATAGCACCTCTAAAATATGTGTATACATGCTGTCATTAGCTGTTACCTAGATTTGCTGTCTAGATTTGCTGTCTATATGATCAAAAACAGAGAACTACTTTTATGTACATGAAATACTACACAGAATATTTATTAAGTTTTGTAAGTGGTGGCTTTCTAATAGATAAAATAAACAAGGTATACATAAATTGATAATCAACATACATACATTTGGACTCATTTAAATTTTACTTATTGAAAAACAAAATGGGAAAAATGGGAAAATATATGGTAAAGATAAAAAGTTATGTACGAAAGGGTACATACAACTTTGGTTATAATTTTACTATTGTTAAAAGTTTTTTCTTGTCAAGTCATACGCTAGAATTAAGGATACTAAAATAATAATACTACTAGGAAAGACAACAGCCAGAATTTGGTCTGTATTAGTAATTAGTCGTATCAAAATCTCTATCAGATGTTGACTTGTAAATTTGAAAGTGGTAAGGTAGCAGCTTAACTGTAAATGTTACTCATTCCTATGCAAATTGGAATACCATCAGTAAAATTTATTTGTCGTTGAATATAGTCTTTTCAATAGTTTTTACTTCCTTGAAAAATATTTAACCTCAGACAGTATGTAACCTGGTGTTTTGGGGGGGTTTTTTAAGTTTATTTTTCCAGGAAATGTGGTGTCTACAACGTTTTAAAACTTATATGCCTACATTCCTTTAAAGTCCGCTGATGTTGATTGTAGGCAATCATGCAAGTGAATTATGTTTAGTAGCTTCTTGTCGCCGACGGTAAATACCGAAAATGAGCGGAAAATACGTTTATTTACGATGATTTAGTGGGCGGGGAAATGGGCGGAGCTTATTTTATCTCCTATTGAAAAACGTGTAAAGCTGGTGTATGCTGATCTGAATCATGATGGTTCGACAATGTAAAGCTAAGAATGTAACTTCTGTTTTGAGTATTCGAACACTTGGTATTGCTACTATCAGTTAATGTTTTGTCGTTTAACAAAATGTATTTTGTTGAAATGCATGTTTACAATATTAAATCGGCAAACTCAATCCAAGTATGCAACATTGCAGTTTACATACAAAGAAATACAATTGTATTTTGTCCATTAACAAACTGTTCAACTCAGATCAACAAGGCTGGATTTTTGGCAACGAATAGCCTCCATAGTAGAAGGCGCCACCCCTTTGTACACTTTTGGGATGCAAAATCATAGATGCATCCGACCAAAACAGCCAATTTATCTTCCCCACTTTATAAAAATTACCAAATATGGGAACTTGCCTACATTTGCAGACTGGTGTCACTTACATATGATCTACTTTACAGTCGTCACCTGAAAAACCCTTGATAATAAATAATATTTTATTAATAAGGGTCCCTTTGTAAAATCGGATGAATATTAAGTGGTACACCACCTAAATATTTGTTTTGCAATACACCCAAGATTGAGGAAAATGGTCAAATGTGCAGCTGATACTTCATACAAAAATTCACCCTCCAAAAAAAAAAAATAATCACAGTTTTAAAAATGTGACTATTTTGACATAGTTAAATTAGGAAAATTTTACATGATTACCATTAAACAAACAATTTTTTATTGTTTTCTGATAATATCTGTCAAATGAATTAAGTATGGCATTTCTGTAGGAGTTGAAGTCAATACAACATGAGACTTTCGGCACTTTAGTGCAACATGACAACATTGACGCCAATTTAAAAAAAAAGAATGTGTTTGAATTTAGGTTGTAATTGAAAAAATGTTCCGGAATAAGTAAATATTCATGTACCCATATATGTATACATGCGTCGTTATAACGTAGATGTAGAGTAACTTCCCCTATATAAAGTAACACCTTTTGTACTACATATTTTTCCATTATCCCCTATGAAATCTCGATACATTTGGATAAAAATTAATGTACTGTACATCAAGTAACCATAATGTACATCAAGTAGCCAATCAACTACCTTCCTGTTTTTTTTTTTTTTTTTTTTTTTTTTTTTTTTTTTTTTTTTTTTTAATACTTTTTGCCATAGAAAGGTAGAAAAATATCTATTAATATCTTAAACTTATTAAAAACTTGCAGAAATAGGTTAATCATAACCTATTTCCAAAATGTACATACATAATTTAAGAGGAGATAATTTTCACATATACATGTACGTTATGTTTATGTAGTCATTATATTGTTAAATAAGTAGTAGAACAAGTTGCCTACGTCACGATTACATAGAACAAGTGAAAACGAAAGTAGAATTTATCAATACTGTCACTTCGATATAAAACATGAAAAACAATATATAGATCTAGTTGCCAGTTTAAAGAACACCAGAAGATATATGCGTTGACATACAAATATAATCCCCAAAATAGCAGTTTTTTCAAATAGAGATCTACTCTAAATTGCTTCATGTAATCTTGAAAACGAAAGTGATTTTCAGAAAAAAAATATGCGCACAATCATGTATGTCATAATGTTTTATTTGATTATACTGTACCCAATAGTCAACATTATATAACAGTAACAAAATTTTCTTACCCCTGAAACTTGAGTCAAGACATTACACTGTTTATCTCTATGTTTAAACGCCCAGTTTTCTTCATGTAAATCACAGGAGCTTGAAATTCTATCAATAATCGCTCAAAAGTCCGATCTAAAAAAAAATCCATACCTATATATAAAAAACGTTTTTTTTATATATAGGTATGGATTTTTTTTTAGATCGGACTTTTGAGCGATTATTGATAGAATTTCAAGCTCCTGTGTGTAAATATAGCATACCAGTTTAATCATGTACGTGTTGCGATATCGACACAAGAGGCTCAATGAGGGGATTTTATTGTTCAGAAAAAATGAGTTAATTATGCGCACGTTTAGTTCCTACTTTTTCTTTTTAAGTCTTTTTAAGTTATTTATAGAAATTCTCAAATGAGCTTTATGGAAATTAAATACATGTCATGGGGAATTAAAGTATCTGAACGCTTACAGGCGAAAAACATCAGTATATATAAGGGATAATATAGGTGTAACACCTCTAAATATTTTCCTTCATTAATTAACTAGTAGATTTCACCTTATAGCCATATTACCACAATGCAAAATAACAAATGTAGCCGATATTATAGGAAGCTATAATTTCTTATTAAACACAGTAAACAAACAAAAATGCGACGACTTTAATATGAGTGAAAATTAAAAATCAAATCACTTTTCAAACGTGTCAAGTAAGTAGTAAAGTCTTTTTAGAAGTCGTGTATTTACTTAATCTTGTTCATTTTTAAATGCTGAAATGCTTTCTCAAAAAAGTTAATATTCTTTTTTTCCCATCATTTCACTTCATTTTTTAATTATTTTTAAAAAAAAAAAAAAGATGAGATAGATAGATTCTTTTATTCCTCCAACTTAATCGTACTTAAACAGCTTTCAAAGTTCCAAATATTAGACCCAACGGCCGTTCTAATAACAATACATGCATATAATATTATGAGCAAAACAATCAAGAGTTTGAAATACATCCACAAAAATGCATATTACTCTAAGTTGAACTTTAAGCATAGAAGAAGAAAATGTGTTTAACAAAATGTATTAAACGATAAATTTTAAATGGTAATAGAGCAGACAGCTTTGAATTGGGTATTTAACAGCCAATCAAATTCAAAATTGAGCACACTATGACCGGAAGAGCTAGCTGAAGTGCATCAGTAAAGTTTCGTGTATTAATCTTTAACATAATAATAATTATGTTCATGCTCAGTGACGTCATGGGTTCAGCACGAAACAAAGTGGACTGGGGCTTTAAATATTATGCTTATTCGAAGCTGATAAACAATAAAAGTCATCACGTGGCTTTCCTTCAAATACGTAATGAGCATTTTCATTTATCCGACAACATAACATAAATTTGTTAATTTAGATCTTGGTTTTCTGTATGGTTAATATTGACCATATATAAATTCCAACAGAATCCGTCTAGCTAGTAGGTCTGAAAACGCTTAATCAATGGATAATAAAAATAGGTCAATAACTGTCCTAACTTGCACTTCAAAAACATTTCTATAGGAATAATTTTAGTATGCACAAAACTTCGAAAACACCGCACCGTTGTTTTTCGTCATTTCCAACACTTTTTGTGGTTTTCGGTAATGTTTTAGATGTAATTAGATAAAACTTTTGGCAATTTAGGCAAAAATGTTGACCACCATGATCTGAAAATCTGGATGATTACATGCATAAATGTCTTACAATGTAATGTGTTATCTTCAATGGTTTTATAATGGTGTGTGCTCATCGCCGGTCAGACCATCTCGGTCATGCTGTGTTCCCACCGCCAACCAGATCAACTCGATCAAGTACGATCAAGCGATCGGGTACCGGTCTAGCTCGGTCTGCATGCGTGTCCGGGGCTGGTCGGAGCGGTCAACCTTTGTCGGCATGGCTCGGGCTTCCTACCGGAATTTTTTTGACATGTCAACAAAATTCGAGTAGCGATCATGTAGATAAGCGGTCGAGAAGCGATCGTATAGTGATCGAGTAGAATATCAAGTTGTTCTAGAATAAATCGTGTAACGATCTAGTTTGGTCAGGTATACATCTCTTACCCGATCTGTACACGATCATCTCGACTTCTACTCGAGCATTATCCACGATCATTACGATCTGGTCGGGTGGAAATCTGGCAACGATCGGGCAGAGGTCGAGTTAGTCTAGTTGAGATCGTGTACGACTCGCGTATAGGTCTGGGTGATCGAGAAGAAGTCGGGATGTTGGTCGGGTTGTCGTCGAGAAGAAGTCGTAAAACATCGTGTAGGGTCGACTTGAGGTCGTGTAGGAGTCGTGAATGTGCATTTAATCCAGCTTGGGCGGGCATGGTCGGGGAATTAATGTGATCGGGACGATCGAGTTCATCTGATCGGCGGTGAGAACATAGCATTAAGCACGATCAAGCGATCGGGTACCGGTCTAGTTCGGTCTGTATGCGTGTTCGGGGGTGGTTGGGCGGTCTACCTTGATCGGCATGGCTGGGGCTTACCTAGTAACGATCGAGGAAAAGCTATCGAATAGTGATCGAGTAGAAAATGTAGTTGATCGAGAATCAATCGTGTAACGATCCAGTTTGGTCGGGTATACATCTTTTACCCGATCTGTAATCTCAGCTTCTAATCGAGAATTATCCGATCGCAACCCTATCAACACGACCTATCACGTGACCAAAACAATCTAAAGATGTAAAATTATTGGTGGTGTCTTATAATTAACTGTTGCAAATTTGAAGATAGAGGAACTACCAAACAAATTCTGACAACAAAAATGCCTAGAAGGAGCAAAAAGGCAACCTGTAGTGCGAGTACGTAGGAGTACATGCACAACTGCAGCTGCTCAATCTCCACCATGAACTGATGTGAACCATGAATGTTTGAAGCATTTATTCTAAACAATTCGATACACGACCATTCATGACTCGATTGCGATCATTACTATCTGATCGGATGGAATTTGGCAACGATTGAGCAGAGGTCCAATTAGTTTAGTTGAGATCGTGTTTGAATCTATAGGTCTGGGTGATCGAGGAGAAGTCGGGTTATTGGTCGGGTTGTCGTTGTGATGAAGCCGCAAAAAAAAAACGTGTCGGGCTGACTTGATGCCGTGTATGAGTCGTGAATGTGCATTTAATCGAGCTTGGTCGGGTTCCATCGGGGAAGTTATGTGATCGGGTCAATCGAGTTAATCTGATCATCGGTGAGAACACATCTTAAACTAGACTGCTTACCTGTTGAAGTTAGATCCGACAAGGATATCTATTTTCGACATTTTGGAGAGTGAGTGTATTCAAAATGTAATGCAGTTTGTGGGGACAGTACTTGTGTATAATTAAAGTTTGTAGTGTAAGATTTACCTCCCTTTTATAAGAGAATCATAAGTTGTTATTTATTGGCATGAAAAATAAAGTAAAGAGCATATAAATGTTTTGCAGTAATGAGAATCTTCACACTTTGTCGTCTGCTAGACAAAATATGATTTATTGTCGCTATAGGATAAACGATTTAATCAATAGCTGAACTGAAATACATATTTTGTTATGATAGTTTGTTGTTCCCGATGCTCGTTTTTATTTCTTATTTATATAAAAACAACATTATATTGATAATCATATATATGTGCCTGTTCCTCTTTTTTTTAATTAAAAAAAAGTGGAAAAATGGATTCACCGAAAGCTTTGATACCTTTTAAAATATATTTTTATTGAAAGCTTTAATACCTTTAAAAAAAGATATATTTTTTATTGGCTTACTCTTATCAATTTCAGCATGGGTTATACAAAGCCTTTTCTGTTTTTATTTCAATCAATTATTCATTGTTTATATGAATTTATACAGTATTGCACGTTTGGAATTAATTGGCATACCCAGTCCCAAATTACTGGAAGAAAAAAGAAAGGCATGTTTACAATTTTGCGAAAATTATTTTAAATGTGGCAAATGAAATTCAGGGGTCCGAACAGAATAACAAAATACTATTCAAATCTGTTTAATTATTGTTAAAGGATTCAAATACATTACAGTTTAGCTTACCCTTTCCTGTACAGTTAAACTTTTAGCTGTGCAAAACATTAATTGATCTGAATAAACAATGTCATGATAGTATGTTTAAAGTTATATGAACTTATGGGCCAACACTTTTTCTTTCAAAAAAGTATTTTTTTATAATTTTTTCCTATACATTTGCATTGTACATCTTGTACGACAACAAAAGGAATAACATATGTTTAAACTAAACTTATAAGTTATAAGTTTAGTTTAGGCATAAAAAAGTAAATGAGCAACCACGTTTCAATCATAAAACTGTCGGGGAACTAAAAATATGAACAATTGCAGAATTGAACTTGAGACATCATTTTCATAGCCTGATCACTCAGACCACTACGCTACTCGGTATTACATGTATGTCCGTACTCACTTATTATTCTATATTGCAGTAAATTAGAACACAATAGCAAAACAGTTCAACCTATTATATTATAATGGTACAATCGAATAACGAAAACGTTATCGTGTTTTATATCTATTTATACATATATAAATGATAAAAAGTGCCGGAACAAAAAAATACACAAAAAAAACTGACATTAACTGATCTTTTTCATTTTAATATAATGCCGATGGGTTTCTATATCATCAGGGCAAATAAATATACATGTATATATATTCCATTTAAGTATTTTGAGTTTTAAATTAAATACAATAATATTGAAGAAAACTTAACAATAGTATCTGGTAAGTTGACAAAGTTAGCATTATAGGTGAATACATATGGCGTGGTGGGTGGTGGTGGGTTCATTGTTTTGCATGATCTACTTATGCGTGCCATAAATTTGCAACATCGTGATCCATAAAAAAAGCAAATGAAAGGCAGAGAAAAAGATGAATATATTTACTTTCAAAACTGATTAATAAAGATAAATTGTTCTATGAGACCAATCACCGTTCATCATTTTAACATGCCTATAGTCTTCTTATCCTGATAAATTTCAATGCATTACATGACTTTAAAAGTCTGAGATATAGAATATTATGTTAAAGACGTTCTTTACCACTAACAACAAAGGTTGAATGATGA